ACATTCCACAATGAAATGAATAAACAGCAGAGACTACACCAAAAGCCACTCATATTGAACTCAAGTTACTGGTAACAATTTTGTAGTGCCCCTGTATAACTGTTCCATATGGTTAAACAATCTAACAGGGTGTCAGGGATTCGCACTGCAAATCTAGATGGGTAAAACTTTAAAAAGAGATGGACAAACAGGTGGATATTGACGCAACCTGGACTAAGAACACTTCGGCTGTGGATGAGGTAATTTTCCTAAATGAGGCGAGTGGAATGATCACCAGAGCAAGATTTTAATGCTGTGACAGATATATCATCTTTACCTCTGTGGTCAGAGCTGTTAAAATGGAGAGGGATCAGTTCAAGTGTCTTATTGTCAATATCGGAGAGGTGTTCCTAGAAACAATGAGTTAGCTTCCTGCCAGTTTCCCCAATGTATGCCTTGTTGCATCTTTTGTAGATCGTGGCATAAGCTACATTGCAGAATTCACAAGTAAAAGTAAACCTTATTTGGAAAGAACCATTAGGGAAACTGACTGAAGAGGTCCAGACAGATATTGACAAGAAGACACTTAAAAGACACTGTGGAAGAAGAGGAAGAAGAAAACATAAATTTAAAGAAATAAAATGCTAGGAAAATAGTCAAATATAAGTTTCTGTAAATAATAATGTACTAGGCTGAAGTAAAAAAAAAACAGTGAAAGCAAAATACTTAAACTGAACTGGAAAAAAAAAATGACCCCTAAAAGCCTAAAAAAAACATGTCAATGAATTGTCATTCTTCTCCTGCATTCACCCTTAGAAAGGCAGATGATACACTATGTTTTAGTTTACAGCTAGCTGCGATATATGCACCTTTTGGCTGAACACATCCAGTTTCACCAAACCCTTAGTCATCTCTTATGACATAATGTTAACAGGCAATAAGTCTACTGCCCCCCCCCCCCCCTCCACACCCACCTTAAATAGGGCCCCATAGCCCACGCAGGGAGTGCATGAAATAAAATTTAAATGAATTTCAAATGAAAAGACTTGGAAACAAAGTAACATTTTAACCTGCCATAAAAATATTTTTTTTTTTAATTTAAATTTCAGAATTTAGATAACTAGGACAAAAATTATGTAATGCACAATGTATTGTCCGTCATATTCTGCTGTATCTGACACATCTCGCTGTATCAAGAGGAAAGAGCCAAATGTTTCAATAGCTTATTATCTGCTAGATCTGGGGTACCTGACCGATAGAGATTGTGCCTTGTGAGTCACTAGGGAGCCTGATTGACACTCAACACTCATAGAAACTGACACCATCAGAACTGGAACTCTTCCTTGGCTGCTGGAGATGAGGATGGAGTATTCATGGCAATGACCTGAGTACTGTGACATCAGTTCTTGACTCAACTCAATAAGGTAATTAGTATCAGTCTGACTCTCCATAGTTGCCTTTTAAAATGTGCATCAATCAGTCAGTCGGGTTTCTTCTTCATAGTGATGTTGCTGCATTGGGTGTCCAAAATTGTATCTCTCTTCTAGGTTTGTAGCTCTCTTAGACAGCTGTTTGTGCAACATTATGTTATTCTCTCACTTGTGTCTTCTTCTTCCTGCATTCACTGGCTGTAAACTCTGGGGGAAAGGTCTACTCGTCCATCCACTTCTGGACTTTAGTGTTGCTCCAGAACTTGAATTTTTGCATGCACATCTGTTCTACAGATCTTGTTTACTTGTATGAGGACTGTTGATTCCTTACCTCTTATGGAGATGCGCTGCAGCTTTGGTGGTAAAAATCCCTAATTAGTTGCCTTTTACAACATATTTGAGAGGGAAACAGTGGCTCTATTCCTTTCTCCTCCAAAATTGGGCCCTGGAACTCATATTAGAATTACTTGTATCAGTGTCTATCTCTTGTTTAACTGTTTCGATTTTTTTGCTCAAACACTATGATTTTTATGTGAGTATTATGTCTGTTAATGTTATCAAAATTTTTCTCCTGCCTGGTGATCAAGCCACGAGTTTCTGTTTGGAGAATTACCTTAATCGTAGTTTAGGTGTTCTCAGCCCAGCTGGAATCAATATTCAGCAAACCTTCTTCTTAAAAATATTTTTGTTATGACTTTTATGTTACCTGTTATTGTTGTTATTTATGTATTATTAGTTTTAATATTCTTATCACAATTGATGCTACTGCTACTATTACTGGAGGCCCAGGTTTGAATCTTCGGTAAGGCTGGGGACTTTTTTCTGGGCCAAAATAAAATCACCTGCCCAGTCGTGGCGACAGCACTAGCCATGCGGCCGTAAATCCTCAGGCTGAAAGACCCCTCCGCCTACACCGCAAAAGTGGTAATTAAGGCAGTTATTGGCAGTTTTGGGCTACTATTACTTCTTTTACTACTGCAATTGTTACTTCTTTTACCTTTAATATTAATATTATTCTCTAATAATACTATTATTATTACTATTTTTGGTCCTTAGTTTATTTGTATCTTTTAGCATGATCTTGTCTGCTTCATATATTTTTGAGTTTTTCACGTGACTTCCCTATGCAAAGTATGCCCACACATTATTCTCCCAACTGCATACAAAGATCATGTATTTATCTATTATAGTACATTCTTGTTTGTCTTTACATCTATATAACTAGATTTTCTAAGTTTTCCTTCTCCGAGAAGATGCATAAAAGCCAGAGATGACTTCACTGCACTGGGGTTTATCCCGAATAGATCATTCTCTCTCAGAATAATTACTCATCGACAATGATGCATAAAGTGTGAAACTCTTCCTTCAGCTAGGAGAGCTCTACAATAACTGTATTTGCCATCCAAAGACAAGTACAAAATCAACGGCAAGAGCATTGCTGTTGCTTTTTCAGATAATTAAATTACCAGGCAATAACACAGCATGCATACACTTATACATCACACACTACATTATTGTCGAGACCAAGAGAGAAAGGCAGCACATCTCATATTTCCCTTACCATCACTGTTACAGGATTAGTCATTGTCATAGCACCATCTTACATTTTGGCTTCCATTAACACTGTCATCATCATCTTCATCATTACATCTACTACTACCTGCAACCTGACCAGCACAACATACCAAATACTCTGTGTTAGGTTGTGTATTCTCATCCAACAACTCTACCTCTTGGTCATCCAAGTTCTCGTCATGGACTCTTGCAATCTTCTCTTTCATTCTCCGCTCTCTTTTCTGGGAGGAAGATATAGATAGATGGTCATAAGTTAAAATAATAATCACTATAACGCTCATTCAAAACTCTCTTCTTTCATTTTACACACTGTTTTTCTGATAGAAATATAAATATGATTTAAAAACATTACAAAAAAATATACTAAGAAATATTCATTCTAAACTTTTGCCATCTTTTCTTTCATTCTCCTTTTTCTTTTGTGTGAGCTGCGAAGAAGAAATATGGTCAACAGTTAAACAATAATCACAAGAAATGCTTTTTCTGAACTCATTCCATTCTTTGCTCTCCTTTTCTTTTGTTGTTGTTGTTTTTGTTGTTGTTGGAAGAAAGATATAATCATTATCATTTTTCAGGTCCTTTTTAGAATGCCACTTTCATCAAAGGACTCTAGACAATCACCAATACCCTTTCCAGCTTTTCTGCATTGTGAACTTTCATGACCAGTGTGTCCATTGTGTTCTGAATGTTATGTATTCATTTTCATGCTGGTCAACCCCTGCCTCTTCTTCCTTAGCTCCCTAGGTACCAGTTGAACTTGACCACTTCAGATTGGTAATGATGATGATAAATTAACATAATTTAACCATAATCACAAATAATGTTCATTCTAAACGCTTATTTAAGAGTCATTCCATTTTATGTTTGTTTTTCTTGGAAGAAGATGTATCATTAAAAATTATTATTATTATTATTGTGTTTTAAATGCCAAATGAATACAATACAATATTTAGGATAATATGAAATAAATATACAAATGCAAAATGAGAGAGCTTCTAAACATGGTCAGAGAAACGCTTTGCCCAATGCATGTTTTCTAGAAGGAAAGAAGAGGAGGCTCATTCTCCCACTGCCCCCCCCCCCCCCGACCCCCTTCCCCAAATTATTATTTTTGGGGGGAGAAAGGGGGTTAAGGTGCCTCAGTTTCCAGGTTCTGGTGGCCCTGAATGGGGAAAAACCCATGATTTCATGCAAATAACTAAATAATAATGGACATAATAGTAACAGAAAATACCATACCTTCATTCGCATTGCCATGAAGGCGAAGACTACAATCAGTAACACAGCCAGACCGGCACAAATTACAGCTCCAATGGCGTATGGTGAAACTGAAATGACAATGAGTAGAAGACTGTATACACACACACACACATACCTATATATATATATATAAACCATTTTCTCCTTTATTCCTATTGCATTCCTAATGTTCCCACTCTGTGTAACACAATCCATGGTATCGCACTAATTCACCTCAATATCTGTGCTATTTATGTTCAATTTGGGCACATTTTTATATGTCAGTACAGTCTGACCTATTTTACAGCAGTTCACAATTCTGTAGTTTAGGTTCAGTTCCACTTTGTCAACCCCACAAATAGTTTATGTTCAGTTCTGCTTTGTCTACCCCACAAACAGTTTATGTTGAGATCAGCTATTTCTATCACACAAATAGTTTATGTTAAGCTCAACTTTGACTGCCACACACATAGTTTTCATTAAGTTCAGCTTTATCTATCCCACACATAGTTTATGATAAGTTTGGGTCTGCCTACTCCACACCTAAGTTTTTACTAAACTCATCACCACCTACTACCTGCATGGAGTCTTTAAATATGCTTGAACATACTTAAGCATGTGTGCACACATGTGCACATGCACACACGCATGCACACACACACATACATACACACAAAAACACCCCCCCCCCCCCCACAGTACAGCATAGAACAGCACTCTGCTAAATGAGTACAGGAACCATAACCCAGACTTACAGTGCATGCTAGTATCTGCTACTTGTGGAACTGACTGTGCAGAGTGGCTGCTCCTGACAACATAGGCTGCATTCTGGCCTTGAACCTCGACGCCGGTTTCCGCTGTGTGAGGGCGAATAGAAAAATAATAACATATCCAACAAATTAATTAATTAATTAATTAACTAATGGAAATGGCTTCACTTGGAACATTCTCACACAGTTATGTCCCTTCCCTCTGTAACTAAAGTTAGTCTTCGTTTACTGATGATGCTAGATGCAACCAGATTCAAAGTCTGCCTGTCTTAATCCTTGTGCACTGATAATCACATAGCTCTCACACCCATCTGAATATTTATCTCCAGCATTATACATATCTGTGTATGATATCTTGCACTGAACAGAGAGCCATCACAATGTCCACTTTTATCATAAAATAGATTGCTGTTTAGAGCTCATTTCATAAGCTCATCTCACATTTGTGGATGACTCCAGTCATGACAGACTACTTTTGCCCAATACAACTATCATTTGTCACTTTCAGCTCTGTTTCAAACAGTAGCCGTTTATCTCTTCTAAACAAAATCATTACTATTGTTAGGGTTAATATTCTTTCTTTCTTTCATTCTTCCTTTTCTTTCTTTGTGTCCTTATTTTTTCCTCCTGCTACATCTTCTTTCTCTTCTCCTTTTTCATCATTTTTTTCTTCTGATCTTTCGATTCCTCTTTCTCTTTCTACTCCTCCTCCTCCTCCTTCTTCTTCTTCTTCTTTTTCCTCTTCTTCTTCCTCTTTTTCTTCTTCTTTTTCTTCTTCCTCTTCTTCTTCTTCTTCTTCTTCTTCTTCTCCATCTTCTTCCTCTTTTACTTCTTCTTTTTCTTCTTTAACTTCTTCTTTTTTCTGTATTAGTACCATTCTCTTACTTCCTTAATTGACAACAAGAGATCTGTAACAACCACACAAATACACCAACAGCTTACCAGCAACACTGATATTGACAGAGTAGGTATTATCAAACACATGAACCCGACCCTCCTCGCCATTATCCGACTTCTCAATGATCTCATTTGTGACGTGGCACTCATAGACGCCAGCATGCTCTTCTGAGAAGTCCTCTATGTTGATCTGATTGCTGACTGAGATCTGATCCACTCGTTTCCCGGTTTTTAAAGGGGTGAAGGACCATGAGTAGGTGGGCGCTGTGGTTAAGAAGACAGTAAAAGTAAAATTTCCTTTCTTTATTTTCTGATATGGGGGAGTAGGGGGTGGCCAAGTGGTCAAACCATTTGCCTCATGCACTGAAAGTCTTAGGTTCATTTTCCAGACCCATTGTTAAGTTTAGAACTGCAGTTCTAGGGGATTGCCACTGTAGCTAAATGTATTTGAAATTATGTTATATATCCCCTAAAAGCTTTAAGTTATAACTTGAATTTTGTTTATTTTTATTTATAATATATTAAAAGAAAATTGTATTCAAAATGCATGAAAATAAAATTGTTTAGCTTATACCTAAATCTGGCAATGTCGAACCCAATACCTATGGGTCAGTATCAATCCACAGCTATACAACGGCTCACAAAACAACCACACTGACAGGGGTATGAATGCATAGAACTGTCTTTGCTGCCTGTATTTACCCCACTAAAGGATGGTGAAAGACAGGGGGTTTTTGTGCTTGTTGAGTCAGTGCCACGTGGCTATGATAGGGTCATAGACTGTGCAGGTTACAACTGTAGTTTTCACTTACTCCTTCACTCACTGAGGATTCAAACCTGTGTCTACCAAATGAGAGCCGTGATTACTCATATAATAGTTTGTATGCCCAAAAAACTGTCATTTATTGTCTTTATTTGTCACTCTTTGCAGTGTTGGTGGGGGAGAAGGGGAGGGGGGCGTCTTCAAGCCTGAGCTTTTTAGGGTTGTGGGGAGCTGCCATGGTACAGCAGCTAGAAACTTACTTGTGGATCGGAAGGTCATGGGTTAAAAAAAACTGTCATTTATTGTCTTTATTTGTCACTCTTTGCTGTGTAGGTGGGGGAAAAAAGGGGGGGGGAAGGGTCTTTAAGCCTGAGCTTTTTAGGGTTGTGGGGAGCTGCCATGGTGCAGCAGCTAGACACTTAGCTGTGGATCGGAAGGTCATGGGTTCCGGCCCTGATCAAGCCAAACATTTATTTTTTTAAAAGACCTTGGCTCCCAGGTCGACCCAGTGTTAAATGCTGACTAGTCCATGAAATATAGGTCTAGCACTAAATTCCTAGTACACCTTTGCTGTTTACTTTTATTGAAGGCCACATGGTTGGTGCTATCACCACAGCCTTTGCAGAGATATAGCTGGTTGTTAGCTTGTTAAGGGATACTCCGAAGGAACAAAAGGAGGACATGTGTGAAAGGGGAAGGCGTACTGGGGATCAAAGGGGAAAGTGAACAATATTAAAAGATGAACTTGAAGAAGGGTGTACAAATGCAGCATAAAGAGGCTGGACAGGGGTGTTTAGCTATTAGTATTTTTCTTCTTCTTCTTCTTCTTCTTTTTCTTCTGTTTCTTCTTCTTCTTCTTCTTTTTTCTTATTTCTATTTTCCTTCTTCATCTTCTTCTTCTTCTTCTTCTTCTTCTTCTTCTTCTTCTTCTTCTTCTTCTTCTTCTTCTTCTTCTTCTTCTTCTTCTGCTTTTTCTGCCCTTATCTCTTATTTAATTTTTTTTTTGGGGGGGGGGGGAGAAAGGGGGGCGTATAGGAATATTTTAGACAAACCCAATAAATTATGAAGGTCTAAATTATTCATTCAAAAATGACAAATTTTTCTTCTTACCCAACTCATTTTCTTTTACTATCTTTTGCAATTCACCCCACGTCCTCCCAATCTTTTTATCATTACACTGTCATTTCCTATTTAATGTTCAGTTTGGTCTGTCATTTCCTTTGACTTTATGAGTTTCAGTGAAGCCCTTCTAGTATTATTATGTTTATGTTTTTATGTTTTCTCAACATGTGTCCTTTCTGAAATCCTTATCTTTTTCTCACCTCTTGAGTCACTGGAATTTTAGTTATCTCGACATTATAAGTGATTCTATTATGCCAGTTTATTCTGTTTATTTACCAGTTCTAAGTAATTATTCAGGCATTGCAATCAAAATTAGAAGAGGTGACTGAAGTTGGTAATGTTGATGATGATGGTAATGATGATGATGGCGATCATGATGATGATGATGATGTTGGTTATGATGATGGAGATGATGAAACTAATGATAGTGATGATGATGATATTAGTGATGATGATGGAGATGATGATGATGATAGAGATATTAATAATAATGATGATGATGATGATGGAGATGTTAATAATAATGATGATGATAGAGATATTAATAATGATGATGATGATAACTGATGATCATGATGATGATTGTAGCAGTAGTGGTGACAATGATAATAGTTATCACCAACAACGATGATTGATGCTGATGATATCACCGAGACCTACTTGGATAGCCACGACCGATACACTTGAGCAGGATGTCTGATCCCAGAAGAAACTCGTTGAACCTGGTGACTGGGAACACATGCACGGTCATCACCTGGGCGGGGGCTGCGTGATCACAGGTAAAAGGACGGGTGTTCATATCAGTTTATACAGGTGTTTATATCAGTTTATACAGGTGTTCATATCAGTTTATACAGGTGTTTATATTAGTTTATACAGGTGTTTATATCAGTTTATACAGGTGTTTATATCAGTTTATACAGGTGTTAATATCAGTTTATACAGGTGTTCATATCAGTTCATACAGGTGTTTTATATCACTTTACACATGTGTTCATGTCAGTTTATTTGGGTGTTCGTATCGGTTTATACAGGTGTTTATATCAGTTTATACAGGTGTTCATATCAGTTCATAACAACAATAATACATGCATGAATTTTTGTTGTGTTTGCCAGTGTGATACGTGTTTGATGCCATCATCTGTGTTGGGGCACAGACACAAAACAAGGACTTTCTGCAGGAGTTTATAGCCGGTGAACGTGAACAGAACAAGAAGAAGGGTAGTTTTAAGAATGTGTAATTTAGACCTGCGGATCCCCCCCCCCCCCCCCCCCCTTCTTAAATATTCCAATAGCGAACAAAATCACTACCTAATTTTGTAAAATGGTCTGTTGCTTTTATCTGTGTCTCAATATTAAGGTAAAGGTAAAATCGGGAGATGTGAACCAGCGTCATGCACACTGTTATAACCATAAGTGCTCTGCCACCAGTACGGACAGCTGATAAGAATTGTCCGCATGTGTCGTCGTTCGCACGCAACTCTGTAGCTACGGTGACATTCCTCCATTTACCCCAGAGTGTCAACTTCTGGTACCCATTTCCTAGAGGCTGGGTGAACCCTGGGAACAGCCCGGTTTCGAACACCGGCCGTGGACTGCAGCGAGTCGCAGCTGGATTTGAAAGCGAGCCTCTTATCGACTGCGCTAACGCGGTCTCAGTATTGCAGTTGAATAACTAAAGGGATGTTTGTTGATGACGTTCAATCCCAACAAGACAACAAAACGAGTGCCACCATTCTGATGAGAATCACCCAGGCACTAGTCGCGGAATCCCATTTAACCTCCAGGTTATATCAGAGTCCCAAGCAACAGCCGGGGTGGGGCTTTGAATTAACACACACACAAACCCGCAGTCCATACTGGGGTGAGAATATGCTATAACTGACTGGCTCACTGACGTTTTACCCCACTAGGACATCACATTCAGCGATGACACAAATGCCCACCATGTAGATGAGGTTCACCCGTGGAGAGGTCTCAGAAACCGCGTTCAGCCATTAGACCATATTTATGGTCGGGCTATATTGCTGTCCCTGGCATGAGCCAGAGTAGGGCTTTAAATAACGAAAAATTGCATCCCACAAAGGGATAACAAGGCTCTACTGTAGTTGTAACTAAAGTGGTCCCCATTGCCTATGATGTATAACTGTAACGTTTAGTAGTAGTAGACTTTTGCCCCACCAGGACATCACACAAGCGATAAACACCCGATGACACAAAGCGCCACCATGTGGATGAGTATCACCCGTGGAGAGGTCCCAGAAGCCGCGTTAAGCCTTTACGCCATATTTATATGGCCAGGCTATATTGCGGCCTCTGCCAAAGCCAGAGTAGGGCTTCAAAATTTGCATCCTAAAAGGGACGGAAAGTATTACTAATTCATCTCACAACTGACTTTCTACCCCACCAGGACATCACACAAGCGATAAACACCAGATGACACAATGTGCCACCATGTGGGTGAGGATCACCGTGGAGAGGTCCCAGAAACCGCGTTCAGACATATTTATGGCCAGGCTATTGCGGCCTCTGGCATGAGCTAGAGTAGGGAAAACATCATATCCTGAAAAGTCACAACTGACTGACTTTCTACCCCACCAGGACATCACACAAGCGACAAACACTCGATGACACAAAGTGCCACCATGCGGATGAGGATCACCGCGGAGAGGTCCCAGAAACCGCGTTCAGACAATTGTCCATATTTATGGCCTGTCTATATTGCGGCCCCTGGCAATAGCCAAAGTGGGGCTTCAAATTACAAAAAAATTACGTCCTAAAAAGGACGTAAGGAATATATATTTAATTTGTTTCGAAAGTCACAAGGAGACGACTGGAATATAAAGAAGATGCTGTAACTTCTATTTCTGCCTCCATATACATTTATACCAGCCGAATAACTAAAGTGGTCTCTACTAAATGCAACACTATAACGTATCCATTCCTTTAGAAAAAAGAAAACATCCCCTCAAATCTTTGTTAAAACATTTTATCTCTGCTTACTAACCAGAACACCCTCTCGAATTCCTGTTAAAACAATTTTATCTCTTTATCTCTCGCTTACTTCCCCCGAATAAAACCATTTGTCAAACAAAATTTCCCAATGCTGATGACGGTATCACAAGGGACACTACCTCTGTATTTTGATTCCATTTGATGACCCAACTTGTTTTTGCTGCCCCAGACAGCGCCTACAACAACTGGCATATCCATGGCAACGTGCGTGCTTGAGTGAGCGACTAATTCTGGGATGGCTGCTGCGTTCAATCTCCCAGATGGTTGATACATTTGGAGGTAAATGAGTAAGAAGAATTGTGGCGAGATCAATGGCTTATAAAATGGACGATGGGCATGTAGAGTAAATTATTACTTTGCCGTT